AACGACCATCGATTTGGATTATATTCACCGTGTGTTCCGTGGCGGTGTCTAGCCTTCTCCTGGCTATATCGGCAAAGAAAGCCAGTTATGTGAACCTTTCGAAATAATTTCAGACACTCAAAATAGATGTCACAGTAATCATAGACAATTTTGGTTTGCCAAAAATTTACTAGCTTGCAGATACTTCGTCCTCCAAACTTCAATTCACTTTTGAAACTTGTCAAGACTGGTCATCTCATCGACTACATATAACAGCATAGTAAATCTTGGTTTTACAACTGGAGTCCCCTCTCTCTGTATGAATGTCCACCATGACCTTTTCACAAGTTCTTGTTGCCTTCCACTCTGTAGTGTGAGGAGTAAACTATAACAACCTCGACCTTGCTTACTTAGACGAATAATTAGTAAATAATTTTGTACGCACTTAAATTGGCACAACATATTTTGGACTTATGGTTCAAGCTATCTCCACGATCTAGTGCAAAGTTTAACAGAAGGGCTGCATGAGTTCCTTCCACACAACTTATTTAAAGCAGATATCGCTTCTTCCTCTGCTCCGCATTTTCTTCAAAACCGACTTAGAAAATTACGAAGACAGTTCATGGATCCTTCCAAAGGTTTATTGTCAGTTCATTTAAGGATTGCACACAAATGTTTGATATGGCTTTAAAAAGTGGGCTTCCATGAGATAGGCGTGCTAATTCTTCCAGAGCTCTTGCTCAAGTCTTCCACCTCCGCTCGTTGTCTAAGTTTCAGACAGTAATTTCGTTACATACGATTCGGCCAAAGCAGAATTGTTAAAGTTCTCTTTTACCTTCTCCTCCTCTCTTTACCCTGTCTGCTCCAAAATGACGGCGACTTGCGCGGGACTCGCACAGCAGCCACTGCCTAAGCCACCCCCGTATTATAACCAGGTTTGAGTTCTGGCGTCGACACTTGTAATATCCCCCCAGTCACGTGTTAGGAAGAGAGGGCAGAACAGGATAGCAGGTTGTAGTTTACTGTCACTGTTTCTGCTTGTAAATGAGTTCTGTCTTCTGTGTGTCCGGCAGCTTGGTCTTCTGTGTATCCGTCAGCAGCGTGGGTTCTGTCGTCGGTCTCGTCTCTGCAGCAGAATCTCGTCTAGGGCAACAGCGTCCCGTGTCCCAGCAGCAGAATACCGCCTCTAGTCCGTGGCCGCGTATTTAAGGACCAACGGCCTTTGTTCCCTATTGGCCCCTCTGCAGGTAGCCATCATGGGATGTCCTCATGATGACAAGTCGCGCCACTGTTACGCGCGCATGCGTCCTTTCGTGACCTCTTGTCAGGTGTGACGGCCAGATGGCTGCGTCACGCGTATGCATAACCCTGCGTCCTCGCCTGGTGTCTTTCCTTGAAGGTCGTGCGTTTGTCCCTTCTACATACGCCCGCTTCCGCGAGCTTCCGTTGTT